GGGTTTTCTGGGGGGAGGTCATTAGTTAACGCATCCGAGGGATGCATGGGAGAATAACAGCACATCAGTTAGGATGCTAATTCACTCGACTGGCAGCGAGCGCTGCGAAATGACAGCTTGGAGGGGTGCGGGGGAGGGTCTGAAAATGGCAGCAGATTGGTATTTTGAAAGGGGAGGGAAGTTTTATAATGATGAATAAGAAAGATGACATTTGGTGCTCACATTTAACTTGCATCGGCTGTCCGCGGGAGGGTCAGTGTGCGCAACCTCCCGCGACGAGGCCCGGGGCTGCCCAGCAGCTGACTGGGTGCACACCCTTCAGCGGGAACAAAAAGAAAGGCCCGGATAATTAGGCCAAGTTGAACTGCAGGAGGTAGCCAGCTTCTCTGCTGCCTTTTGTATATTCATGACCCAGCTTGATTGATGGAAGGACAGTGTTTGGTGACACTGTCATTTGCAAGTTGAAAGGTAGAGTACAGGCTGGAGCTATGCTCAGATGTGCCTTAAAGGGTCCTACAATAAGCTCATTTGGATGCTGATGATGTTCGCATCTGCATTTCTTTGTTTCTAACTGTTTCAGGAGGACATCTGTTAATTTGTATAGATTAGCTTGGATGCTTTCATTTAAAAACATCAAATTATGTAGCAGGACTGTTTATTATAAAAGTTTCCGGGAAAGTTTAAACTGATTGGGAAACCATGCAGAGGGTGATATTTAAAACCAGGATTAAAAGAATAATAGCAATACTTCTATTTGCCTTCAGCCTCGCGTGCCCAGGAATTAAGACTTCTGTTTCTGCTGCAGCGTTATCAAGAGGCATTAGCAAAAGCATCTGTTGAATTATAAATTTCAGGATAAATGAGGCTTGCCAAATTCCGTATCTGCTCGGGAGAGGAGGGCCTCCTTCCCCGGACAGTGAAAGCCTTTACGTATGGGGGGGGGGAAGTGAAATGTAATTAATTCAAGAGGGAAAACGCTTTTACTCTGTAATATTTAGTCCCATATTTCAAGAAGAACAGCGCTTCTGTCAGAGAGCTCACATTTTTTACAGGTATTGCTTTCAGAGCGATAGCGGGATGTGAACTGGGAGAGGTTTCGTGTCTTGGGCCCGGCTGCCCTCGGCGCAGCAGCTGATGGTTGGCGCACCAGAAGTGCTCTCCTCCAGCTCCGCGCCGGGACGGGGACCCCGCGCAGGTCCCTTCCCCTGGAGCGGGGGAGGCCACGGGGACGGCTCCGGCTCACCCCGGTGCTCGGCCTTTGGCAGTGACCTTTCCTCACACGCCCCGTCCCTGGGACCAGCGGCGTTAACTCACGGCCGAGCAGGCTCTGTCTGCTCTCGCACTTCTGCTTGGCGCCGGGTGTCTGCCTCCCGAGGCAGCCTTCGCCAGCCCAGCCCACGAGTCCCAGAAACGTGGGAATTGGGGGCAGGAGCCCGCCCCGGGCTGGGCAGA